TATGCTTAAATATATGCTCTCTGGTCATCCCAAAACCAAGCTCAACAATGGTTCCAGGTCCTTAGTGAAATCCACTGGCAAGCTACCTGGCTATATATTAATAACAACTAAAAGATATCCAATTACCAACACAGCTTTCAATTATCCACTTTAAAATCATTTCGCATTAAAATTCTGCTTGACAAATTGTCACTCCACATATCTTACACAAACGTAACCCTGCATATCCACCAGTATGCCATCAATGCAACCAAACTAGCACTATGCTTTACTGGGTTGTTTGTCCAACTTCATAGTTACTTGAAAACTTGATTTCTAGCTCACTTCAATCAACAATTAACTTATCAAGTCTTGACTCTCTAAGTAAATTTATTTCTCATATACTCTAGCAAATCTTGAACCTTCAGTGTATGCAAATTCACAACTTATCTAATTTACTATCCCTCTTATCAACACTCTCAGGCTTTATTCCTATGAACTTATATTAGTTCTTGCTGATATTACATTATCTAACAAAATTGCAATATCTCTTGCTGTCAAATTCTTATTACATCTCAATAAACAAATCTATACCTCTATTTAGAATTCATACTGTATTTTTAGATTCTAAGCTAATATTTCTACTTCTCCCCAGCTATGTTCACTTTCTTCATATATTTCACATTTTTCTCGAAGTTTATTATTTTCTTCTTCCACATTTTCGATCCACCAATCTCTCCTAAATTCTTATTATTAATATTTTAATTATAATAATTATAAGTTAAAAATTTTATTCTTACCATTGTAGTTCGTTTTTCAATCCTTGTTGTTCTTCTTTTACTATTACTATTTCTTCTTCTAGTTCTTTTATTTTCTCTAATTTTACTTGCAAGTTTTGTTTTTCTTTAGTTAATTCTACTCTTAATTCATTAGTTAACTTTTCTAGTCTCCAATTTGTAGAATACCATTCTTCCCGTTCTTTCTGAAATTTTTCTCCTGCCTCTTTGATTTTTTGATCTTCTTTACATTTCTTTAATTGTTGTTTTAATTTTCGAAGTTCTTCTGACTTCTTAGCAGATTCTTTTCTAAAATGTCTAATGGTATTATAAGTAGAATCTTCTATTTCTGCTATTTTATACTTATCTTTTTCTTCTATATATAACAATTTAGTTAAATAGTCTATTTGATCTTTCCTTTTTTGTTCTTGTTCTTGAAATTTGTCTAATTGCATTTTTACAATTTGTTCTAATTGTATAAACTTATCCGATAATAATTGTAATTCTTTATCTTTTTGTTGTACTTCATCAATAACTTCTTTTTGCTTTCCTTTATCAAACTTTTTACTACATAATTACTTATTTTATTAATTTTATTTTTATATACTATTAACTTATATATATATATATACCTTTGTCTTTTAGGATGTCCATGTTGTTTTTTGAATTTTCGAGGCATTATCACTAAAGTTATTTTTTTAGATCTTGTAAAATAAGGTTTTAAGAAATTCTCCTATTGGATTATCAAGTTGTACAAATTACAAACTTAAGAAGTTAGATTTTCAAAATTAGTAATTATTCTGATGTGGACAAATGAGTTAGAATGCTTACCTACTGATCAAAAGGATGAGAGTTCGAAACTCATTGTGAGCGAGCTAATGCCTTCCTAATGGCCAGGGATATGGCGTGGCCTCTTAAGGATGATATACCAGAATAAGAATTTTTTTTTTCTCTCTGATTATTTTATTTTTGTGATTAAAAATTATTGACTTCATTAATTTATGAAGTAATTATTTTAATACTTTATGCCTGGTATGCATAAAATAGGTCTGGGCGAATATCACGGGCAAAGAAGGAATAGCAAATTAGGCGCAGTAATCTCGTAACTAAACTGGATATAATAGTGGAATTCTGGATCAACGGTTATATGAGGCTTACCTGCCAAAGAATAGAAAGGATAACCTACGTGAAATCCGAAGAAGAATTCTGAAAAGAACAAACAAAGATCAAGCAAGCAGATCGTGAAGATAAACAAAGAGAAGACGTTGATGGGAGGAATTATTATTATAATTATTATAAGCCCCTTAATGTATAATAGCTTCGCCCTGATTCTTTAATGATGTATTATTAAAATTATCTTTAAGCCTCTTGAGTTTGTTAGGATAAAATAATCTATAAAAGAGTTGAGAATTCACGTTAGTAAAAGGATATCCTTCGGGATTTCAAGAATTCATTCATAATACCTTTAATACAAGACCCGGATAATTCCTTTTAATAAACAAATTATTGTCAAATCACCAAAGTCACGCCTCTGACGAGTTGCCGTATCACCAAAATTATATCTTTTTGTATATAAATAAATAAAACCCTACGATTCGCCGCTTAACATTTGGTGGTGACTATGAGATACTTGAACTTTTTAAACTATATAACCTAAAAATAAAAAAATCTAACTTTGAAATGAATAACGAACAATTCGAAAGATTTATGCAAATGATGAGCCAAAAAGACGAAAATAAGTCTGTAAATAATCTCGTAAAGGTAAAATGCTTTTACGGAACTGACGATGAAGACCCATTCGAGTGGTTTGCCGAATTCGAACGAGCCGCTAAGGCTAATAATTGGACCGGAGATCATCGTTTCCATATTGCTTCGGGCTATCTAAAAGGTATAGCCGCCGATTGGTATTCTGAAAATGAAAAAGAGATAAATGAGTGGAAGACTGAAGATGAAACTGAAGAAAAGAAAAGTGAAAGCTTTTATTATCGGTTCGTCCAACAATTCGCCCCAGAGGAACGTCAACATCGCTGGGCCATTGAACTAGGTGCTTTAAAACAACAAGAGTTAGAGAAGTTAGATACCTATGCCAACAAATTTAAAAGATTATTAAGTCAGGTTAATCTTGGTCATAGCTTACCCGATATTCATATCGTAAGAATGTTCTTTAAAGGGTTGAAAGGAAGAAATGCAACGTTTGTTTCTGTTGCTGCACCGAAAAATTTAAACGAAGCTATTGCCGCGGCTCGAAGGGTAGAAGCCGGAGAATATTATAGTGAGCCTACGGTCAGAAGTAATAGTATAAGTCATAACGTAGGAAATGAATGGAATGAGATGAAGAAAAGGATTGAGGGGTTAGCATTAAATTATGCCACCCTAAGTGCGCAATTAAGGGATACGAGGAGTTATCGTCCAAGAGATAATTTCTATAGAGGACGACCTCAAAACAATTACAAATGAGAAAGGAACGGAGGACTTAAATGTGGTAAATGTGGGGAAGTAGGTCATGTAGCCAGAAGATGTATGTCCGAAAAAGTGAACTATTCATATCAAAGAAAAGAGAAGAACAATAGTAATCAAACAAAAACTATTAGTTTTTGTGAATTAGAAACTGAAAATAGTGGAGAAGTATATATAGTTAAAAATGAACCTACCCCAAAGAACATAGTAAAACGTCCGGCGAACCCAAAGTGGGAAGAAAGATTACGAAAGACAATTAGAAATCAACCAGAATTGCCAAAAAATCAACAAATAGTAGATGTTGACAACGCACCCAGTATAACTGATCCACCGCCCATCTCTAAACCTAAAGGAAGGCGTGGACCTTCAAAAATAGACTCGTTAAAACCCTATAATGTAGCGGACGACATTCTGTCTTTACCTACTAATGTTACAGTGGGCCAGATACTTCAATATCCGAATCAAAGAAGAAATTTGGCAAAAATCTTAAAACGACCTCCAATTCCAAAGAACCTTAATTTTCTCAAAGAACCTCAACGTACTACCGCAGTTAGATGTTATATCCGAATACAAAATAATCCAGTACTAGCTGTACTAGATTCGGGTGCTGCAGTAAGCATCATCACAACACAACTATTATATAAATTAGGATTAAAAGTGGACAATAATTTTACTACCACAATCATAATGGCCACGGGGGCGAGAGCTAAGACGTTGGGAAAAGTAAAGGATGTAAAAATTATATTAAATGACATGTATGCTGGTAAATCAACAGAAGTCCCGATTTCAAATACTGGGTTTGAAGGTCTTGATCCACCGAACGAAGACAGTCATAGTGACGGTACTGATACTTTTGACGAATTCGACTATGAAGACGAGGAATTCGATAACAACGCAGAAGAAAAGTTGGGAAGTTGACTCTTATATAGTGGGGAAAATCCAGCACTATACCTCACTAATATAGAAGAGGTACCCACAAAGAAAGATGAAAAAGAAAAAGATAAAGAAAAATCTATTAAAGAAATAATAGAAGAAATGGTTAATAACGAAGAAATGACATCACAAGAACAATTTAAAGCTAAAGAATTCTTACTTAAAGAAGAAGACTTATTTGCTCAAAGTATTGAAAATTTAGGACGTACTAATGTTACCACCCATAGCATTAATACAGGTGACGCCACTCCGATTAAACAAGGCTATTATCGGGCTGCCTATGAAGAAAACGAGTTTATAAGAAAAGAAATTAAGAAATTAAAAGAACAAGGACTAATTATAGAAATAAACAGTCCCTGGGCTTCTCCGGTAGTCATAGTACCGAAGAAAAACGGTAAACTACGATTCTGCGTAGATTACCGAAAAATTAATTCAGTAACTAAAAAGGATACTTATCCACTTCCGCTTATTAACGATCTCCTTGATACCTTTGGGAAGGCTCAATGGTTCTCCACTTTAGACCTAATAAGTGGATATTGGCAAGTTGGAGTTAGCGAAAAAGATATAGAAAAGACAATATTTATAACAAAATACGGTACTTACGCCTTTAAAGTAATGCTGTTTGGTCTTTGTAACGCCCCGGGGACTTTCCAAAGGTTGATGGATCAAGTTCTTGGTGACTGTATTGGAAATTTTGCCGTAGTCTACCTAGATGATATAAATATTTATTCAAATTCATTAGAAGAACATTCAAAACATTTAAAAATAATTTTTGATAAATTAAGAAAAGCAGAATTAAAATTAAATCCGGATAAATGTACATTTTTAAATCCGAGATCAATTACCTGGGTCATGTAATTAATAAAGAGGGGGTGAGACCCGACGAGTCAAAAGTAGATAAAGTAAAGAAATTTCCAGTACCTGAAAATATTCGCCAATTGAGGGGATTTATTGGCTTAGCGTCCTATTATTGCCGATTTATCAAAGGATTTGCTACGATAGTCTGACCGCTCCATAAATTATTAGAGAAAGATGTTCCCTACAAATGGGAAGAAAAGCAGCAAATTGCCTTTGAAACATTAAAAAGGCACTTGATGATGGCACCTATTTTGAGATACCCGGATTTCAAGGAAACGTTTTACTTACATACCGATGTGTCCGGCGTAGGGTTAGGAGCCGTTCTGGCCCAGAAAGATAAGGACCACAAAGAATATGTGGTAGCCTATGCCAGTCGAGGCCTATCAAAAGCAGAACGAAATTATTCAGCCCCAGAAGTGGAGTGTCTAGCCGTCGTTTGGGCTGTAGAACAATTTCATTATTACCTTGGCACTAAGCATTTTACACTAATTACAGACCACGCTACCCTTAAATGGCTACATACCAGTGAGCCAAAAGGAAAAAGAGCTCGTTGGATATTAAGACTCCAACCCTATGATTACTCCATTATCTATCGGGCAGGGAGAAAACATTCTAACGTGGATGCTTTATCTCGAATGTATCCACAAAAGAAACTAGGGTAGCTAAGATTAAACAGAAAAGAGAAAGGAATAATTGTATTAAAAAAAAAAAAAAAAAAAAATTTTTTTTTTAAATTACACCAAATAATTAGTTGAGGTGCGCTGCCTGTAAGTCACATATTGTGCGAAAAGAGGGGTGCTCAGCCTGTAAGACGTTTAATTAAGCCTGGTACTGGCTGAGTTCGCTACCGAAATAAGTACTGCGCAAAAATTGAGAGGTTTGTCCAACCTGTAAGCCGTTTAATTAAGCCTGGTACTGGCTGGGTTCGCTACCGAAATAAGTACTACGCAAGAAAAATGGACCTAATTAGTGTAATTAAAGAAACCCATAAATTCAAAGTTTATTTTAAGTAAATAAAGATAATATAATAATAAGTTTAAAGAAAAGATACTTGGCAACATTGATAAATTGAATTAAGTTTGATAGCAAGAACTGAAAAGTTCTAAAACTATAAGCTGAAAATTACTAACAACTTTAAAAATAAAATCCGACATTAATTACAATTCAGTTCAGGTAGTCGGTGTCCTGACAAAGAAAAGATGGAATCACTCCGATATCAATTGTTAAAGACGTACCTTGTAGAACATATACTACCCCGTACCTTAGCTCCACAAGAACGACGAAGTATTCAGGCTCAAAGTCAATTCTTTGAAATAAAGAATGGTTTTATATATAAGAAAGATAAACATAAAACTGATAATCTGTTAAGAGTCATTCAAAAATATGAAGTTGAAGCAATATTATACCTAATTCATAACCATCTATTGGGAGGACACTTTGGAATCGATATCATGTTCAATAAAATTCGGGGAAAATACTATTGGCCCCAAATGTATAACGATATTAGAAGATTCGTCCGTATATGCGATGCCTGTCAAAGGAGAGGCAAGAAATTAGTAAAACCTCCATTACATCCGATCCCGGTGGAAGCTCCCTTTTTCAAAATTGGAATCGATATCGTGGGACCCTTACCAAAAACTCCACGTGACAATCGATACATTGTAGTCGCGACCGATTACATGACTAAATGGCCAGAAGCGAAGGCAATAAAACATGCCAATGCACAAGAAGTGGCTGACTTCATATATGAAGATATAGTAAGTCGTCATGGATGTCCACAGTTCTTACTCTCAGATAGAGGGACACATTTTCGTAATAATTTAATGGATGAATTCCTGAAGAAATTCACCATTAAACACCATTATTCCACACCCTACCATCCACAAACAAATGGGTTAGTAGAACGATTCAATAAAACACTCTGCGAATCTATATCTAAACTCGTCACCAACGTCCGAGAATGGGACTCATTCATACGTCGGTACTCTTTGCTTACCGAACTGCCAAACAAGGTACCACGAAATTAACGCCATTTTTCTTGGTGTATGGAAGAGAAACCCGATTTCCAATCCATCCTAGTGAAACGGAAGAATTGTTGGAAGGCACGTTCTTACATAGACTTTTCGAACTAATTGAAGTCTTACCTTATGTAAGATACAACGCCGTAAAACGAATCGAAAAGGTACAAGAAAGGGCCAAAGAGAAGTACGATAATCAATTATCTCCTATAAAGGAAATAAAAAAAGGAGAATTGGTTTTAGTATACAAAGCGTCACAGCAACATTCTAAAAGCCATAAACTCCATCCAAAATGGAAAGGGCCCTTCGTCGTTCATAAAGTACTACAAAAAGGCGTATACAAATTACGTACCGTGGAAGGAAATATCATAAAGTCCCCAATAAATAGAAAATTATTAAAAAATTACTATTCTAGATAAGGAAATTAAAGGGTTAAGTGCAAAAAGGGATAACAATTAATTAAAATCACTTTAAATAGCAACTAATATATTATGACGTCATAGTGATCGTTGTTAATAATAAGATTGTAATTTCTATGATTAATAATAAACTATATACGTATTATTGGGTTAAAATAAGATAACAATTAATTTAGTTGAAGGATAGTAGATATATTATAGAGGAGTTACCTTGAATAATAGATACCTTTTGATTCTTAATCTAAACTCACATTATATTCGAAGAACAAGCACAATGTGCTTATTGAAGATAACACTAATCGATGGTGTCTAACATGCGACCCTTAGAAGACAAGTCAAGGATGGACAAGTAGAAATAAGAATGTCGATGATTACATTAAAGAATTTCAACTTATAGCCACGAAATACGACAATGTAATTGAATGAATTCCTTTTAATAGATGAAGATAGTATTCAATCGACTGGTAAAAGGGATTTGGCTCTAGATTTTCTACAACGTGGCTAGATGGTAAAAGAATAATTTCAGGCGAAGATGAAGAATGCACACAATCATGTGTAGTTGCACTTAAATTTTACCTGGCTCACGAAAGAATTTCTTAAGAGAATTTAAAAATTATATGGAATTTAGATTAATGGGTAGTAATCTTGAAGTGTACGGACTGACTTAAAATACAACTATAATGATGAATATTTAATGGTCTTTCAATATGCAAATGGGGAAGTCTTTATAAATTTCTATATTTAAATTTTAGAGATCTAGGATTATCTAGAAAAAAGGATGATTCAGATTTAGAAGATGTTTTGGTATTATTATAACTGAGATGTCCACGGGAAGACCTCCTCATGGTGAAATTGAGTATGATAAAACATTAGCTATTCAAATATGTAATGGATTACGTCCTGAATTTGCTAAAAGACACTCCTGAGCGCTATACTCAATTAACAAATAAATAGATGCTAATCCTTGTAATAGACCAACTGCATCTAATATATACGATGAATTATGGAAATGGCATCAGATATTAAATTATAGCAGCGCGAGATGAAAATAAATTAACAATATTAAAAGCATTCCAACCTGCAGAGGCAATTATTCCAACGTAATCCACCAAATTGCCAGCTTGTCCTGAAAATAAACTTACAAAATCAACCAAAGCAAGAATGGATAGGAAGTTGGATCGTTAACAATGAATCCCGGACGCGATCACGTGAACCGAGTAGTGCCAGTGCACTTGAATAAATTCTCAAGCTAGGACGAAGGTTCGTAAAGAATTATTTACAGGACACCAGGAAATGAGAGATTAATTATATGGAGATACGTAATGCTTAAATTCATAATTCAACGAAAATGAATAAGAAATTAATTACGACCAAAAGAATAAATAGTTAAGATTTGAATTATACCGAATTCAATTATAAAAATGTGATCCTGGAAGAATCACATAAAACAGGGGAGTAGTATATAAAGGTTATAGCTTAAATTTTTTTTTGTTTGTTTGTTTGTTTTGTATAAAGCTTTTATGACTAACACGAAGTTAGCCTAATCCGTGGATCCCAGTAGCAATAAGATCTAAGTTTTTACTCAGTCATTACTGATATGAAAAGAAAAGGCAATCATCTATACTAGAGGCAAAATTCGCAATTTTGTATTAGAATACAAGAGTTGATATGTGATATACCAAACATGAATCCATTAGTCATCGATTCAAGCTTTATCTGTTACAATTATATGAATTTCTAAAACAACATTAAAGAAGATAACCAAGAAACAACTGAGAAAACCTTCTATAACTAAGAAGAGAATCAGTTTCACAATATGATAGGGATATTACTTAGCTCGTGCATTGACAGTAACCGTGAAGCTTAATAGATAAAGACAAGAGGAACAGGCCTTTGTACTGTTAGCATAGTCAAGAACACTATTATTTTTATTAGTTCTATTTTTATACCTATATGGCCACAACTGTCATGTGACCCCATCGTTGAAACAAATTTTGAAAATTGGAATAAGATTTTTTATATATACAATGAAACTAAAAGGAATCTTCTTTGTCTAATAATTTCATCAGAGCTTCATAATGAGCTTCTGTCTCTATTTTACTGTAATCATTCTTTTCTCTTTCGAATCAAGGGATCTCAGATCTACTACTTCCTTCTACTTCTTCAATATTCACTTGGATTTCATCGTCGCTATTCTCCATACTATTAGAATCTATATCTTGTTCTTGTTCCCATTCTCTATATGCAATTTCATTTAAACATTCAAGATTATCGATATCTTCTTCATTTTCTTTAGCTTCTAACTCAGTTAATCTTTCTTCTACATCTATTGCATATTCATCCCATCCAATCGTTCACATACTATCTTCATCTTCATTAGTAATATAATTACCTATGACTGTATCTTGATTTCTTTTAGTAGTATTAATTTCTTGTTCTTCCCAATCAGATTTATTATCGGAAACTTCACTCCAACTATGTTCACTTTCTTCATACATTTCACATTTTTCTTGAAGTTGTTTATTTTCTTCTTCTATATAGTCAATCCACCAATCTCTCCTAAATTCTTAAGTTAATATTTTACTTATAATAATAATTATAAGTTAAAAATTTTACTCTTACCATTGTAATTCATTCTTTAATTCTTCTTGTTCTTCCTTTACTGTTACTATTTCTTCTTCTAGCTCTTTTATTTTTTCTAATTTTACTTGTAATTTTTGCTGTTCCTTAGTCAATTTAATTTTTAACTCGTTAGTTGAATTTTTTAGTCTCCAATTTGTGGAATACCACTCTTCTCATTCTTTTCGCAGTTTTTCTCCCGCTTTCTTCGCTTCTTGATCTTCCTCATATTGTTTTATTTGTTGTTTTAATTTTCGAAGTTCTTCTGATTTTTTTGCTGATTCTTTTCTGAAATATCTAATGGTATTATATGTTGCATCTTCTATTTCTATTGCCTTATACTTGTCTTTTTCTTTAGTATATAATAGTTTAGTTAAACAATCTATTTGTTCTTTTCTTTTTTTTTCTTGTTCACGAAATTTATCTGATTGTAGTTTTGCAA